TTACATTTAGATTTGTTAATTTTATTATTCTGTGTGTATGAGTGTTTTGTCTGAATGTATGTGTGTGCACCACATGTGTCTGGTGCTCCAGGCATCAGTTCCCCTGTAAGTGAAGTCACAGATGGTTGTGAGTCACCATGTGCTTGCTAGGTGGGAACTGAACCTGATTCCTCTGCAAGAGCAACAAATGCTTGTCTTAACTCCAGCCAAAGAGCTAGAATTTAATCAACTCAAGTAAATGAATGAAAAGATAATAGAAAGAATGAAACATGTGAAGTCAATCAGTAAAGCAGTGTTCATAATAGAAAACAATGGAGGTAAGAGAATCCTTAAATATCCACTAATAATCAAGTCACTAAATAATTAAGATATATTAATGCAATAACATGCCATTCAGCTATTAAAATCAAGATGTTTGTGTAGTAGGTTGAGGAATGACAAGGTTATTCACATACTGTTCAGTGTATGTGTGTCTGCATGTGTCCAAAATTTGTATGTATACATGCTGTGTCCCTGGAATAATGCTGGAATAATGCACAAGACAATGCACAACATTGTCTCTTGTGGGAAGAACTGAATATTGTCAAGAGAAAGGAAATGGGAGATTTTGATGTATAACACTTTATTTGGGGAATTTTGAGCCAATAGGATGGAAGTGTAATTGGCATGCTTAGAGCAAATGAGAATATTCTAAAGAGACCCTCACCCTGGTGATCTGGACCAATGACACAAGGAACCCCAAAGATCTAGACTGCAAAAATAATCTCAAGCTGGGAGAAAGAAAAGGCTGAATGAAGCCTGATGCTAGCTAGAGAGGAAGGAAAGAGATCTCACACAATGCTCACAATTTTCCAGGCTACCTTACAAGACAGACTGGATTCCAGTTAATAATGGGACACTTATGGGACTACATATTAACCAGGATTGCATAATTATTGACATCTAATGCTTTCTATTTAAACCTTCAAGACCCTGAAGAAAGATTTAACAGGAGAAGATCATGTAGGTCTCTTTGTCACACTCTTTCCAATGTGCCCAGTCCTGTTTCTGCTTTTCATTAATAATTTGGTTCTTTTAATTGGTTTATTTAGGTTGGGTGGGCAAGTCTAGCTAGTTAGGGATACCAGGGCAGAGGCTCTGACCCTAAACAAATGAATTGTCTATTTAAAGAAAACTCACCTTTAAATTTAAAACAGAGAAGAATCTGTTTAATCTTCTAATTCCCAGTCTTATTCATATCATATTATATGATATGTCAGATACATGTTTTGCAGCTTGCTCACTCCACATACATTTCTCTTTGTTCTGATCCCCTGAACTGAGAGAAACATGTGAGATTTGGCACCCTGTACCTCTGTTCATTCTTATTATTTATCCTCAAGATTTAGTAATTAAAACAACAATCCTATACAAAGACAGGAAAAACATTGCCTGTATATGAGTCAGAACCTTTGAGTCCTCAAAAATAACTTTTAAAATCCATAAGAGATCAGTTGGAAGTTTCCCTAACTTACAAACCTGACATATATAAAACTGGCCTTGGCACTCTCTTATTAGAGACCCTTATTTTCTATGAATCCCAGATAGTAATAATTCAACACTTAAGATTTCTATCAGAGAAGAGGTTTATGGGAAGGAGTGAGGTGACAAAAGGTAAAACAGCCAATCTCATGTCTCCTGCCTCAAATCAATTACCAAGTGGAAACATTAGCAAATGTGCATACTAGATATGCCCATACATGTTCCTGAAAATTAAAGAGCATCATGGTAAGTTTTTCTATGACTAGGGAAACAAGCTGCAAAACTACTAAGCACAACTTAGGACATCTCCAGCAGCAAAACAAGGTTTGTGAGTGCTTTTGCCATCCTGCCCTTACCTCTATTCCCACTCATAGCTGAGGAAGTTACCAACCTCACCTACTGTCCAAATTAAGAGCCTGGATAACATTCTGGATCTGAGGTTACATCTTGACAGTTGGTACTGGTGAAACACAAATATTTATTCTAGGGAAGATTGTGTGACCAGTTATTTGGAGTGCTTACTTCTGCTGATGATATAAGCCATCAAATTGCTATTCCTTCATTCAGAATCACCCCATCACCAGATATATGCAAGAACAAAGAACAATAGAATATTGATGATTATACAAATGAGAAGCTTGGCAGTGGCTTAAAAGATGTGGTGATTCAATAAACCAGAAGAACAAGTTTAGGTTACTATATTGCCAGCAACATTTGGTGGAGAGAAAATACACAGGTTTAATGAAATGGTCTTTAGGGAGAGGTGTGTGCTTTAGGAAAACAAAACAAAACAAAACAGAACAACTGTACCAAAAGAATCTTTGTTACCAATTCCTATTTCTTTGAGAGTAGCCATGTTGAAACATTTGACTATCATCATTTTTTACTTGCTGTTCCCATCAATAATAATAGAAAAAGCAAATGTATAGAAGTCAAAGTAACATAGCAATAGAGAACACATTTTAAAATGACAACATAGAGAAAATAGATGTTTTCAAATGTACTGGTCTCTTTTTTCTCTGAGGGAAGTCATTTCAGTCAAGGTTATAACAAAGACACATTTAGTTTCCCGAAATTGCATTATTCCTGTTGCAACTTCTTGTTTTCAATCCTGCCCTCATTTCCAGGGAATGGAGTGAAGGGACCTCAAAGCACACAGTCCCCAGGGACAACAGGTGGCAGGGGAGGGTTCCAGAATGAGGGTGGAGAAACAGTGCCTTTTGGCACCACACACAAAGGTACTCAGGAGAAGCAGCAGCAAATCCAGGACTCCTTCGTTCAGAAACTGGAAGTCAGTCTGCAGCAGGCTCACATCACAGAGCAGACAGCTCACACCAGAGTACAGCTCTGTAGAGCTGGGGTGTCAAGGGCAGTAGGAACGATCCGGCTCAGTGTTTGTGGTGGGAAAGCCCAGCAGCAGACAGGTACATTTTGTGCTCCAGAGCTAATTAGATCTTGGTTGTCTGTGCCCAACAGGATGGGCGTCCCAGTGGTCATGGCCACGGCTCCTTTCATATGCCTTCTGGATCGGAAGCCCCCTTTGAAACGGGTCTCCTACCTAGGCTCTAACTCCCACCACACGACCAGTCAAGGGATGAGGGGGCAGACAAGAAAGCTCTGCATGCCCACCCAACCAATGTTTTCAGGAGGGCACTACCAGCAAATGAACAGGAGGGGGCGACCTGGGCCAGGACCTGTGGTGGAGATGCTTTGGTACCAGGTGGCTTTCCTGGGGCACAGCTGCTCAGAAGATGTACCCTAGCCACTGAGGCCCTCTGAGAGTTGGGAGGCATCTGCAGTCTTCAAGTCTCGAGTGCCTGCAAGATGCTGGACCGCAGCACACTACCGGGAACTTGGAGTTCTGTGATGTGCAGACGAGTAGGGAGGCGCATGCTAATTCCGGCCAGAAGCTTCAGCAAGGACAGGAGCCTCTGCCTTGCCACTGTGCTGAGGTTAAAGAGGCCTAGCAGTGAGCTGCCACTGATGACAGCACTGGCAAGGCAGGGTGGACCAGGACGAGAGGACACAGGTGTGTGCACAAATCCTCCTTGAATGCACATCATCCAGCCAAACCGTGGATCTCTAGGCTCAAAGCGGGGGGAGGGAGCGGGACACCACAGGCAGTTGTGGGAAACAAGACAGGGTCCCTCAGCCAGCCAGGGCAGCCCAAGGCACAAACCCATGCTGGCTGTGTGGTGCGTCAATAACCACAGGCCACTGGCCTCATCCAGTGTCCCGGCACCTTGCATGGGCAGTATCCACTCCTGGTTGGAAAACTCTCCAGAGTTGGTGCAGGGGCCCTGGCAGGCACCTCAGCTTACTGGTCACCACGGAGTGCTGCTGGAAACAGGGCACAAACAGGAGAGCTGGAACTCAAATGGTGTGTGGAGGCAGAAGAGGAAATGAAAGCTATGGAGAGATGTACGGAAGAGAGCAGGCAGAAGGCAGGGTACTGTGCACAGAGACCACTGGTGCACAGGACACAGTGTCTCAGGACAGCACTCCAGGGACATCGGCAAGTACATGACACCTGTCCTGCAGCAACAGCTGCAGCAGCAGTAACAGCCACAGCAGCGTCCCTCACAAGGGGAGCACATGTCTCTTGCTTTGCCGTGGCTCTGGGAAGGCCTCTCCTGCCAGACACATGGCAAACATGCAGGCAAGCCAGTTCTGGCGAGGCAGGAGCTGAGGAGATTTGGAAGAGGTCTGGAAACAGGAAGAGGGCTGTGAGGGAGAGTGAGCTGGTCGGGCCTGGATGCATGGCTCAACACATAAGGGCCTCCTCGCACTGGTGTGTGGCTCTAGCAGGCAGAACACTGCTGTCTGCAGGCAAGTCACGAATACCACTGACAGCATCTTGCCCACTGTCTTTGTGGGGAGTTCCTGGATGGCCCCCCTCTAGAAAGGGCTGGGGAAGAAAGGAGGCTCCCCAAAAGTGAAGCAGCTGCCAACCCCCTCACCCTGCCAGGAAGCAGTGGTTGGGATCCTGAGGGAGGAAGGAGGCAGGAAGTGGTCTTGACAGCATCCTAGGGGGACAAGAAGAAGGAAGCAGAGCAAAGCCAAGTGGTAATCTTTACAGGGGAATCCTTCATCAGATGGGCACAGCTGGGCGACACGACCCACTTCAGGGCACACAGATAAATGCTGTGGACTCGGGCCTTCAGCCCAAGGAGGACAGTGAAGGAGGCCTCTTGCTTAAGGGCTTCCTGTGCTCAGGGCCCCATAGTGCCTGCTTCAAGGCTGTTGTCCTCTCTAGTCCTCTACACACACCTTCACCCTACCCCTCTTGAAGCTGACTTGTGCTGAGCACAGCAGTTCCTTTCTGCCCCTGGCTCCTGTGAGCACTGCTCAGTGCATCTGTCAAGGAGCAGGGACCCCAGGCAGCTGGACTGTGTGGTGCATTTCATCTCCTCCCTGTTTGTGCAGACCGCAGGCTCAAAGAGGAGGCCCGAGCCCCCTTTTAATTTAATTTTCTTGCCAATCAAAGCACACACATTTATTGATGATACACACTGGGGGTGGGGGAGGGGACCTGGGAGTAAGAGGGTCAGTCAGTACAATGGGCAGGAGGGAGGCGCATTTCTTCCATTAACATGCTAACCATCCATCAGCTAGTGTAGGAAAGAAGAAAGGAGAAATACTTCAGCTTAAGCAGTGGCAGGTGCGTGTTCGGGACAAACTCCTATATGGGTGTAATTTCTGCTAAGTGGTCCCGCTCAGGCAGGGAGATAACCACAGGCAAGAGCAGCACTCCTGGTGTTGCCATTTGATGTTCCTCATCCGCAGCCAGCAGCCACGGGGATCCCTTTACCCTCTACTGTATGAAGAAGGCTCCAAGGGAGCAATTCACAATGCACTTTACCTGCAGACTACAAAACCCAGAAGTTGCCCACAGCTCTTGGGGAACCCTGCCTGGCCAAGAAGAGTGTGGCCCTCCGCTTGGCAAAGGGAAGGAACTTTCACCCATGGAGGAGCCCACAGGCGAGGCTGCATCCTTGGTAGCACCCACTGCAGTTTCTTTGCCCTCAGTAAACTGCCAGGGCTCTGGGTGGCTTCAGTCTCATTCTGTTCGAGACAGCCACTTAAGGGGAGATGGCTTCCAAAAGCATCTCTCTGCTCCCACTTCTGATAAAGAGGCACATGAATGAGAACAGCATTTGGGCAGCCAGCGCTTCCTCCACCAACACCTGCTTTTCAGACAAACCCATCAGCGTTTCCAAACCCTGAACCTTTGCACAGCCACTTCCCTCGGATATCAAAGGAAACTTCAGGTCTGAAACGGACTTGGCAAGCATGTTATTAATAACTGTCATGCTTATTAGCAGATTTAATCCTGCCTGCTGCAGAAATGACTTGCAGCAAGGTAACACTGTCTCCCGATACACTTCATCGATGTACATCTTAATCTGGCCCTGATTTTCAGTACTGGTGTTTGGGTTTTCCGGGACACAGGGAGCCTTCTCCCTCACAGTGGGCTGGGCGGTGAGGATTCTGCTTCCAAACACTGAGAGGCTAGCCAAATGACTCCTTACGTTGTGGCTAAGGGAAAAGCCAGCATCTTTGGGCTCAGTGAGCATTTTTTTCCCTTGAATGGAAGCATACTTGATCAGGTCAAGAGCACAACTGAAGGACTTAAAGCTTTGTACACCCCATATGTTTTTATGTTCATAAGGGAATGGCCGCTGTTTTATTGGGTGTGCTCTGTTTGCCTTTCCACCACCTGACCGTCTGTCCTCAGTACCACCTGGGGCCCCTGGTTCATCCCAGTCCCTATCCTCACTCCAGGGTCGTGCCATTGCTGTGAAATCAAACCAGATATCTGCTTCCTCTTCGTCCAGATCCTGCTCATCATCCCATTCCTCTTCCTCTTCGTCTTCCAATTCGTTACCCTCATCTCTTCCCATGGTCAGTCTGTACATACAGTAGCAGGCACCAGCCCCAATCATCAGTCCTGCTGCCATCCAACCCATTTCCCGGGCCCTACCCATGCTTATTAGGATGTGAAGCCAGACAGGAGAGAGTCTTTCTTCACCTGACTGAAAAGAACTTTCAGGGGTTGTGTGAATAATGGTTCAGGCTAGTATTCTTCAGCCTCTCTTTTGCTTCTCTGGTTCTTGTGATGAATCTAAGAGTGAGAGAAATAGCATTAGGGCTCTGAGCTGTGACTGGGTTAGTACCTGCCCAGACAGGTAGGAGTTCAAATTCTTGTTGAGAAAGTTGGATTATTAAGAAATGATTTAATTGCTCTTTCCTGTCTTCCCATACCTACCCTCAGGATCTTCTTTTATGCTTCCAGGATTCTTAGAGATAGACAGCAGATGAGACTGATATGCAAAAGGTAGGCAGGTGAAAGGGACGGATAACCCTGGTGCAGACCTCTTTACCAGCCACCTTCTTTCCTTCCTCCTTCTACCCACCCCCAAAACATTGCATGTCTTCTAACCAACCTTCACAAAAATCAAGTGAATTCCTTTTGCTTCTTTTTTCTGCTGTATTCCCTCCACGGTGATAGGTGGACCGAGCCTGACAGAAGGACAATTGAAAAACAATGTAGACAGCAATAGAGAACTGAAAGTGTAGTTGGACAGATCTAACTACACCGGTGGGTGTTTTTCAGAATTCTGGATTTTTGAGTAAAAGATTATTTCTCACACCCTCCAGACTTTGCTAATGAGGCCTCCCCGCCCCCTCCTCGTCCGCCATTTCCCCAGCAAAGGCCGCCACACCCCTTTCCCTGCACCGAAATGGGAGGGGGTGTGGAGAAAGAAGGGGCCATTAGAGGGCGACTTGGACCTGGCCTGTAATGATACTAGCCCCCCTTCTCTCCCACCCCTCTTTAGGTTCGGGATGAATCCCACCTTCAAACCTGCAGTAAGGTTCCAACCAAAGCGGTTTGCTCCTTTTCTAGCCAAGGCTTGAGAGGAGACCTACAGACCTGAAAACAGACAGGGGACAGAGGGGACAGAGTGCTTGATGGACTGACCAGCACCCCAGCACCCGGATTGTGAGTCCTTTCTTTGCTTATATTTTGTGCAACCGCCGTTCACCCCATCACCCCAACCTGAAGCCTGCCACTTCTCCCTACTAAAAGAACCAAGGGTGGGATGCGGGTCCGGGTCCGGGTCCGGGTCCGGGGATAGGTATTTAAAAAGTAGGTGAGAAAGGGACAAAGCTCCTATCTGCTGAACTTAGACGCATAGTGCTCTTGGCCCTATCCCACCCCCATCGCCTTCCAAGGAGCTTCCACCGACCTGTACAGTCCAACGAGTTTCCTTCTCCTTCACGCGCCCGCAGAGTAATAGGGGGTTGGTACCCAGTCTGAGGCGACTAACAGGACTTCAGCTCTAGGAGGCTCTCGGTCACGTGACAGTCACGTCACCAGCAAGCTCTAGCCCCCAATTTCCACTCCCACAAGCAGTGCGGCAGGCGCCAGTAAGCTCCTTACCTCCCCCAATACTTGGGAGCCCTGTTAGTCTTTTTCTCTGTAACAATATCAGAAACCAGAAGTTACCGTTTGTCTGTGTTTGAGCTTGACTTTCTCGAATTACCAAACATTCACATTTTCTTCTTGGGGAAAATGTCTGATCCTTTCGTTGGTTTTCAAACTCCTGCATCCCTTTCTTTAATTTGTATACCTCTCTATTTTCAGGCTCTGCAGCAGAATTGGGGAGGGAAGCAGAAAAGGAAAGCCAGATAGGAGAGAAATTTGTATTAACATTTTTTATCCAGTTATGTTTATTTCACTTCTCCTATTTGATAGACTATTGTTTTGTAATCAGAAGTCAAATAAAGCTATTTCTACTTAAATAGATAAATTCTAATCTTTTAAAAGTATATTTTAATAATGTAATTAAGATTTTCCAGTTAATAGCAAGACCTCATTGATTTGGCAAAGTTAATATGTACAACGTTGAAAATATTTTCTTCTACATAGCAGCTTTAAAAGAACATTACAGTTTTGAAACATAATCTTACAAACTGAATCAGCATGCTTTCAATGTGACCGATGAAACAAAAAGATCTGTAGTGAGGTCAATGTTCAAGTTTTGATCATTTTAAATGAATGAGCCATTTATTTGCCCACTTTTTTATCCTGAGTGAACTCACAGGTGTCAGATGATTGATATCTTGTTTAATATTGAGTTTCAGGCTCACCCAAAAGATAGATTTTTTACAGACAACAACTTAGGTTTTAGACTTTACAAATTAGTAACGTTACAGATTACCTGCTTTTCATTCAAAGGGATTTAAATTCTGTTCTGGAGTTTCATGATGCACCCTATAAATCACCCTGAAATTAGAGAACTCTGTTCTCCCACTCATGAGAGTTATACTTATCACGTGGAAATTTCGTATCACCATAAGATTAGTTAGGTCTCCTCAGTTCTGTCATTCATGTACTATATCACCATACGAATGGTGGGTCCTTAGCATTTTTCAGTGCCAATGGAATGAGAGTATGTGGTTGACTGGAGATTATTAGAACACTGGTGACAACGGTTTCTTTTCCCTCTCATAGGTAGAAGAACAAAGTACAGGATCCCAAGTAGTCAGTGCCCAGGAGAAAAAGATCTTTTCATTCACTGCCTTCCCTAATAACTTCTTTGTACCACCCTCACAAACCCCTCAGAACTCAGGGACAAAATATGCAGAAGTGAGTCCCCAGGCACCACCTGTTCACTGCTGGGAGTAATGCTCTAAATATAGAGCCCCCAGGCTGCCTCTTTCTTAGAATGTTGAAATTTGATCCTCTAGCCAGCCGCCTTCCCTGTGAAGGGCCTCTGGTGTGGAGGAGGCCCTTGCTGGAGGAGAGCCAGGGAGTCCATAATGCCTTTTTGGCAAATATCAGAAATCAGGAACATATCATCATTCCCTGGTCTTCCTAACAACTAGACTCATTTACCAGTATCATATCCCATTTTCTCTGTCATCTCTCCACTTCATTTTTTTTTGCCACCATGCTTCTTTTATGATTATGTAGTGTGCTTAGATAACTGAATTCTGTCTCTGAAATCTTATGAACATAATACTCACATTCAACTGTGCTTTCGGCTTTTGGTTGCTATGGACTTACACAAGACACTCTTGTTATTTTAAATATATATATTAAGAAGAACTAATACATATATTAGTAAGTAATATATATTACTAACTAAGTATGCAGAGCTTAATAAAAGCAGAAGATTGGTTCTGTAATGTGAACTCATTTTTACAACATTTTGCCAGTTTCAAGGACAACAACTTTATGACTACCTCTTCTCCTTGGTACAAAATCTTTCTTCTCCCCTTCTGAGTATCATCGATTTTCTCAGTCTATCAGAACCTTCTAGTTTTAATCCACTCCACATCTAAAATTTCTTAAACCCCAGGAGCATAAACCTTCTCAGTTATTTTATGTCTTTGTCACTTTAATTTACAGTTCTTACCAACAAACACAGGGACTATAATTTAAAAGCCACTTTGTTCTCCATTATGTGCACTCACAAATACTTTTAAAGGATATATTAGACATCTGATACACCATCTTAAAAGTGAAATAGAAAAATGGCTTAAGCAAGTCCCCAGACAAGTCTGTGTAATGTTTTCAGAACCTGTAAAAACAAGCAAACAAGAGCCTGGAAAGTCACTTCCCAAGGAATCCAATGGACCAGTGCTTGGTAACACTATGGATTATGGAGAGAGATAAAAGAGAAGGTTGGCATTTGAAAAGCTATAGCTCTTTTGATGCTGTATTACCTGATGTTATATGGTATCTTAGTTAAGGCAGCTTAGCCAAGTCTGGCTAACACAGAACAAATGCTAAAAAGTAAGGTAAGAGGCTTTCAAAGGTCTAGGTAAGAGAAACAGATAGATGATTGTTTCACATACTGTAAATTCACAGATTTTCAGGTTTGGTCTCTAGATTAAAATTTTAACAAGAGAGTTTCTGTTTGGTGTGTTTTGGGCACAGTGTGCATTGTTTTTGCTAGGGAAACACAGAGTATGTTAAATGTAAAACACACTCCACCCACTTTTTAGCATATAAAGTAAATTGTTTGAAATGGTGAATTATTTAATTTTTTTACTTCATTTTTTAATTTGTATGTATGTGTGGGTCGATGTTTTTTGCATAGCACCACATTCAGTGGAGGTAAGAAGAAGGGGTCATATCATTTGAACTGAAGTTATAGGCAATTGTGAGGCACCCCACGAGGGTGCTAGAAACTGAGCTTTGGTCCTCTGCAAGAGCAACAAGTGTTCTTAAACACTTAGCCAAATCTCCAGTCCTAACGTATAGTGTCCTTTAATACTTTATATAATAAAACTTTGTTTATCTGTCACTGAGATACTGGGAACCTGCCTACCAAAACATGCCTTAGTTGTAATTTCTACCTGATCATTAGAAAGGTACAGTATAAAATGGTGATACATAATGTTGCCTCAACCAAGGCCATCTGGCTTCTCTGACAGGATTCCAAAGGGTTGCATATATAGTTCAAAGCGTTGTCTTGAGTGTCATACCATCTACCCCAGATTTTGTCTGTCAAGAGAGAGCAGACTCTTTTGTCGGTGATAGACTCTCATTCAAAGAGACATATAAATCAAGATATGAATGTTCAAACTCACCAGTCTTTTTATTCTCTCCCTGTTAAGTAAGCTAAAGTGAAAGTTATGTTTCAACAAGAGTAACAACTGAAATTTCCCTTGAGAAATACAAGTGTCAGGGGGTAGAAGGGGTTTCTGCCTGTCTTACCTATCAATTCTCTTTCTGCAGACAAACTACTACTTGAGAAGTCACAACTTCAAAAGATTGCTTGATGAGCCTAGAATCAGAGCAAGGGTATCCATTGATCTTAAGAAATGACTTTTAGCTGAGGAAGTCTGAAGTATTCTTATACTCTGTGAGGATGAATTTGCTAAAGATGAAATGTTCCCTTCACCTTAGCCAGAATTTCCTACAGCCAGTACTTGCAGCTGGAACTATCAGCATTTTCCTCTGAATCCCTTTCTGCATGTGAATAAGTCTTCATTACATATCGTGATCTTTTTATAAATACAGAGCCAGGTAGTTGATTTGGTTCAGTTTACTAAATTCAAAATCATGTCTCAGTTCTGCTTTCTAGAAGCTACACTGATAGATTTCCTGGAGATTAGCTTGTCCCTAAACTCTCTCGACTACTGATTTACTCCTATGATTTCTGTGGCTTTTAAATGTTTTACTTAGATGCCAACCTTGCATCTCAACTACTAGGAAATATCTCACCAAACAGCTCATGTTTTGGAAAGCTGCATTACACTTTCTATTATGTTATTTGTTTTTGTACTATGTATTAAGTTAACCTTGTTTGGCAGCCAGTGTCTGAAACCAAACCTAGTTAACTTAAACAATGAAAGAATGTAGTTACTTTATTCCCTTTTCTATTTTTGAAAGTTAAAATTGCAAGTGAATTATTGTGCTCATCAAGCTAATCAGTGTGATGGTTTCACACTAATTGCTAGCTGTCAAGTTCAGTCAAGTTTGCCTTGGTTTTGTATTCTTGTAATACTATTTAATTTGCAGAGGCTGCTCTCTATTTGTACCCCAGTATATTTCATAATGTTCTTTGTATATCGCTCTCAAATCTGTGTGTGTACCTTTTTATCTTACAGACTTTCTTTTCCCTCAATCTTTTCTATTGCTGGCTTTGGAGAGCCAAAGACTCCTGGTTAACTTGTGCCCTTCAGAGCCTGTTGCTTAGTCAGAAGATTTACATATTCTCAGGCAGGCTGATTAGTTCATTCAAGTTGTGTTATGTTCATTCAGCTGTGTTATGTAATGGGCCCCAGAAGACATTAAAATTCCTTTGAGTAAAGTGGGCAACACTTTCCAACAAGTGAGAAAAGTGGGACGTTTAGAGGCCAACACCCAACACTGATCTCCTACCTCTATTATTTCCCCCTTTATGGAAAATATCTTTTTTTGTATTTTTCCCTCATAAATAGAATGCATGCTGTGAGCAGGGGAAGCCAAGGTGAAAATGACCAAAAAAAGTATTAAGAAAGAAAAAGATACGCTCTCATTCCATGTTTCCTTTTCTGGTGACTTATTCATTTCAGGTCAGGACTATATATTTCAGAGGAAATGGTAGATATTCATAGCCAGGAGGAGGGGAGGTAGAGGGAGAAGCTGCTGTCTCAGGAGTTTAGGGAAGGAAGAGTCAATTTAAAAAAAAAAAAAAAAAGTCCAAGTGGCCAGTAGCCCCAGGGAAGGATGCTGTCCTGTTTTGGTAATTAGAGGAGGAGAAACACAACTAGAGGAAGATGGGATTAGCCGCAAAGAAGAAAGAGTTGCAAGGCCTAGTATGGGTGGGGGGGAAGAAGAGAGGGGGGCGGGTCCTCTTCTGCCGCACTGCCGGTGGGAGGGGAAAGTGGGGGATCCGACTTGGTGGATGACGTCGCTCTCACGTGACCAAGAGCTGACGTGTGCAGAAGTCCTTCTTGTCCTGGTCGTTGTTCCTGTCTGAGTACCAGCTCCCTATTACCCTGAGGGAGGGCGGGCCTGCAGCTGAGGAAAGGAGGCGGAAAAGAAATTGTCCCGGATCCCTGCAGGTTAGTTCCTGGGATATTCCATAAAGTGGGGGTGGTGGAGGGTAGAAGGCGGAGGCCGTCGCAAGTCCGGGGGCTCCGCCGTCGTCTCTCCCACTTGCTGCCCTCTTTCCAAGATATATGTCCATTTCGATACTGCAAAACAGTGAGTAGGGGGTGTTTGGGCAGGCGACCAGAAATCAGGAGATGGGAATCTGCTGAGCGCTGAGGCCCGCAATCCGAAAAAGGAGCTGTGGCCTGGGTGTTGGCCCCTGGTTCACCAGGACTGTGCTGAAGGGGAAAAACTAGACATGGGGTTCGGTGTGGTAGGGTACAATGTGATGTGTCAGCCGAACCCTGAGCCTGGTGTCCGGCGGGAAACCTTTAACAGCCAGGCCTCCGAATTAGGAAAGAGTTTTGTTCTCTGGGGACAGGTCCGTCCACCAAGCACTCAAGTAGCCACTGTTTCCCGTCTTTCTGCCTGAGGCTGTCTTCCTTTACCATGGCTCTGTTTCTGGTGGGTCCAAGCTTCCCCTGAGTGGTCAGTCTTTCCATAGGTTGCAGTACAACGCCAGGCAAGAGAAGAGGAAGGAAATTAACCAGCTCGGTGAAGGTCGAGTTGAAGGTAAGACCATCCGAGGACCCCAGGTGTGGCTGGGGTAGGAAAGGGGAAAAACCAGAAAAGGTAATCTAGGTTTAGATTTGGGTCTAAATGTGTTTCTCACACTCCCTGAACTGTGGAGAAATGGCGTTCTCTCTTTCTCACTCTGCACTCGTGGGAGTGGGGGTAGGGGACAGGATGCAGCAGGGAAACCTATCAGATAGTTTGTTCATAATCCTTCTCTCTCAACAGCACTTAGTGTCCATGTTTTCCATCTGTCATCCTGCAGGTCTGCTGTAGCAGGTGGCACTGCTTGAAACAGGGGAGGAACTTTCCCCCGGATCAGTAGAGGTCGGTGTGGGCGTGGAGGCAGTCTGGAATGGGGGAGGGGTTAAAATCAGCTTGGGTTTGGCCGGGCTAACTCAATCCTACTTTGTTTCCTTATGTCCACCCTTTTCAGACTAGGGAGGGGGCTAAGCGTGTGCATGTTTTCGGTGGTACAATGAGGTTTAACAAAAATCTGGCAACCTGGATGGTAAATTAGGAAAGCATAAACTATACAGTCGATGCATCAAGCCCTCGTTTTTTCACCCTTTCTGGTATCTCTGCGAATCAGAAAGATTGCTGGGCGTGGCATACTTCACAGGAAAGGAAGGAGGGACAAATTGCTTGTTTCAAGGGGTTAATGCAAGGGTGCTTATCCCCTGGGGTACCACAGAGGCTTGTGACTAATGAAAGCCCAGCAAAATTTGTGAATGCCATTGCCTTTATGCTTAGTTAGAGGCAAGAGGGAACTGGGAGTAGGGTCGGGTGGGAGGCAGGCATGTAGGGAGGGAATGAAATGAGGGAGATAGAGGGTTTTTTTTTTAAATCAACAATCTGTATTCCCTATACAGCATTCAATTACTAATTTCTTGCCTCTCTGCTCGTTTGTCTGCATGGAACAGCACAAAGAGAAAAGAAAGCCAACCCCTTTTTTTTCTCTTCCGTTTCTAGGTTAACCTCCAGAACTTAGTTACTGTGGCCTTGAAGCAACTGAAGAAGATCACTCTCCACAGGCCTGCACTCAGGCCCAAAGCCCTTTTTCCCTACCTTGACTGACTATTTCTTGGTCCCTGCTGTTGTCAGGGACGATTGCATGGGCTACGCCAGGAAAGTAGGCTGGGTGACTGCAGGCCTGGTGATTGGGGCTGGAGCCTGCTATTGTATTTACAGACTGACCCGAGGAAGAAAACAGAACAAGGAGAAAATGGCTGAGGGTAGCTCAGCTGATGTGGATGATGCTGGGGACTGTTCTGGGGCCAGGTATAATGACTGGTCTGATGATGACAATGACAGTAATGAGAGCAAGAGTATAGTTTGGTACCCACCTTGGGCCAGGATTGGCACTGAAGCAGGGACCAGAGCTAGAGCCAGGGCAAGAGCCAGGGCTACCAGGGCTAGAAGAGCTGTCCAGAAAAGAGCTTCTCCTAATTCAGATGACACTGTTTTGTCCCCTCAAGAGTTACAAAAAGTACTTTGTTTGGTTGAGATGTCTGAAAAGCCTTATATTCTTGAAGCAGCTTTAATTGCATTGGGTAATAATGCTGCTTATGCGTTTAACAGAGATATTATTCGTGATTTGGGTGGTCTCCCAATTGTTGCAAAAATTCTCAATACTCGGGATCCCATTGTTAAGGAAAAGGCTTTAATTGTCTTAAATAACTTGAGTGTGAATGCTGAAAATCAGCGCAGGCTTAAGATATACATGAATCAAGTGTGTGATGACACAATCACTTCTCGATTGAACTCATCTGTGCAGCTGGCTGGACTCAGATTGCTTACAAATATGACTGTTACTAATGAGTATCAGTATATCCTTGCTAATTCCATTTCAGACTTTTTTCGTTTATTTTCAGCAGGAAATGAAGAAACCAAACTTCAGGTTTTGAAACTTCTTTTGAATCTGGCTGAAAATCCAGCCATGACTAGAGAACTGCTCAGGGCTCAAGTACCATCTTCACTGGGCTCCCTCTTTAATAAGAAGGAGAACAAAGAGGTTATTCTTAAACTTCTGATCGTGTTTGAGAACATCAATGACAATTTCAAATGGGAAGAAAATGAGCCTGCCCAGAATCACTTTAGTGAGGGTTCACTTTTTTTCTTTTTAAAAGAATTTCAAGTGTGTGCTGATAAAGTCCTGGGAATAGAAAGCCACCATGATTTTCTAGTGAAAGTAAAAATTGGAAAGATTGCAGCCAAACTGACTGAGCGTATGTTCCCAAATAGCCAGGAATAACTTGGTGGCTTTGTAGGGTAGCAGCAACACAACTTGCAAACTCTTCTTTTTTCTCCACCTTGTTTATATGGCAAAGAAATCCTTTCAGTTGCCAGTTTTAAATAATGGCTATCATACTGTATCATCGTTGCTGATATTTAACCAAGTTTGTCTTCAGGTTTAAGTTGAATAAATGAACTATCCCTACTTGTCCTGAAAACATGTTTGTTGCTTTTTATCTTGTTGCCTAGATTGAAATATTTTTACCATTTTCTCTGCATAAGTGACAGTGAACCAATTCATCCTAACTAGGTTCTTTTCTGTCATTTGCATTGATTTTATTTGTGCATCATCAATAAAGTTTTATGTTAATGCTGGAAAGAAACAACAGAAGAAGAAACTATTCTGTCCCTTGGTTTATGATCTAGTTGTAGAGATAAGAAACATACAAACAAAACAAAACAAAAACTTTGAAATTATTTGGAGCATACATTCTGTCAGATGTGTGCCTTCAGAACATAAAGGAGGCAAAGGCTTTGGTGGCTGTATGAGTCAGTTAAAGCTTCAGGGAGGACAGAGCCATTTAAAGGGAGTCCTGAATGAGGCAGGGAAGTTAGTTGCATTCCATGAGACCAGAGTCAAGGGGAAATGATGTGAGAAAGGCATTAATTTAGAAAACCTCCTGATAGTCAAAACAGCCTTCTTAGAGTGTGGGGAATAGCATTAAATAAATCTAGAAAACTGTGTGAAGCCCATTACAGAAGGCTTCTTGAATGTATTTTAACTAGGAAAGAATTGGGGTAGATATAAATATTCTCCACACACAACATGTACCATCAATGATGGTGTAGCAAAATGGACCCTTTCTGACCCTGGTGGTGGGCATTTGGCAATACATATCATTAAGCCTTAAAATATGTAAACCTTTTGTCCTAAGGGGACAACTGAATACTTGGCCAAAGAGTGAATGTGCAAGGCCGTTCTTATCAGCACTGTCTTAAGGTAGTAACATTAGGAACAACTTTAGTGTCCCCGACACACTGAATTGGCTAAATAAAGAATGTCCATGCTGTGTGATAAATGTGCTGATGGAATTCAGTATTGCTAGAAAAAGATATTCATCATACATTGTTAAGTGAGCAAGGAAAGTTAGATAGCACTCTTCAGAGTATGATTACATATGGGAGGGTTAAATCATGTTTAAAAAGATGCTAAAATCTATGGAATTATATACACCCAGGAAGTACTAAGAGTTATATTTGGATGAAAGATAATGAGTGATGCTTACTTTTTGTACTTATGATTCATCTATGTTTTCTTATTTATCATAAATTAATATTGATTTTTAAATGAAAGGTTTTGAGAAAGAAAAGTACTGGGAATGCAGCAGGTGATAAATTTGAATGTGTACTGAGTGGAAAATATTTAGGCCCCAAATGTGGCAGTTTGAAGTTTCCTCTTCAGAATGATAGATGATGGTGAGGATAAGGCTGATTGTGAGATTTAAATGAGAGAATTTATCTATAATATTCTGGCATATTGCAGCAGTTAATTAAGAAATGTGAGTACCTTTAAGTACCCAGAATATAGTGTTGATCGGTTTTGGTTGACTTTTGTTTTGCTGGGGCATTCTGCTATGTTTCAGTGTCATTTAATAAATAATAATAATAAAGGTTAACATTTATTAAGTGATTACTGTGTAGAGTTCTGTCATTCTTGAAAGGAAACTGAGGTAATAATTTCTCAAGTGTTCCAGGACTAAACGTGTCACCTCAAGTCATGATCTCTCCAGCCTGCATGTTTTTTTTTTCCTTATTGGTGTGAGGATGCTGATTTATATGAGAAACGAGGATATGGTGCAGTCTTCTGTCTAGTTATGATCTAGATTGGGCTCCAAGTTTTCACATATGTACTATGGTGTCTGGAGTAGGACCAATGACTGGTTGTCTTCAGGTTGTTGGATGTTGTAATCCTACTAAGTCATTCATGCATAGGAACACATTCCATAGCAGTATAAAGGATGAGATGATAAAAAAATGAAGTGAATATTTTTCTTACCCCTACTGAGTATGATAAAATGAATTGATATTATGCTGCCAGTGGCAGATACATTTAAAGTAAATGCAATTTGAGGTATTTGTGTGATATTCACATACCCTATTGTCATTTGAATTAATTAATCCTTTCAGCAAAGATGCCTAGGCTGCAAATCAGAATTTGAGGGAGCTGACAGGGGTTTGATGAAGACTGAGGAGAGGGGCCTGGATGCAGTCTGTGGAAGAGTGCCTAAAAGAACTAGGTAAGCAACTAGCATCTGTGGAGAGAAGAGCACAATTTAATCAGCCTGTTTTAAATGTTCTTATAAAAAACAAAAAAGGTGCTCCTTTGAGATGCTTGCGAAAGTAGAGGCAATGAGCACAAAGTTGCCCTTTAACTCTGTTGTGTAAAATGAACACACACAGGCACCCAGATCAAGCCACGGTTGAGCAGCAAAGGAGATTAAATGGAGTAATGAAGCTCCAGTGTGGCAGACATCATCTGCTCCCTTTCTTCCTGTTACTCCTTATTCCTTTCTCTCCTGTCTTTCCCTCCCTTCCTCTCTCTGTCTCTCCTCCCCTTATACTACTATCTTTATTTTCTCTTGGTAGATAATCAGTGGTAGTCAGTCTGTGTGGCTCAGCCTTTCGGGGTTGGTGCCTTTAATTCTGATGATACAATGTCACTTGTGGAAAGCATTTTATGTAGAATAATAATTGCCATTGCTGTGGCCATAAAGTAACTCTGATTTTTCATTTATTTGTCTTTGGAACCCTTCATGAACAGAACAAACACAGAAAGGAATATTCTTGGCTTGATGTTGCTGTGTGTGCCCTGCATGTGTTTTAATGTTTCCCCTCCCCTGCCCGGTACCATTTAGGTTGAGTAGTAACACACTCTTTGGGCAATTGATGGGTCAGACAGATGGGAGGCAAGTCCAGGCCACTTCCTAATGTCCCAGGATTTCCCTGGAAGATTTCGGCTGTCAGTCATTTTAGGACAAGCAAGATCCTGGCTGTGACTGTAGATCTCATGGGTCAGGTCAGGGAGAAACTAGTTTCTTCTCTTTTAGGGATGATGTTAAGACACCCAGAGAATATTCTGCTATTTGGACTTTCTCATCAAACAGTTTTAGGACCTGTGTCAACCCAAATGTGCTCAAAGACAATTTTCTAATAATGGGGCTCAGTTCCCCACCACCCACAAAACATAACAATTCAAGGCTCAGGAAACAGATTTTCTTTCTGTAATTCACATTTCATCTGCCTTGTTTCAAAAGAAACTGCAGTGTAGGTCAGACAGCTGATGAAGATAACATTTTGCTTTCATGGCTCTCTGGTTTTGCTTGGTTCTCTTGAGAATGTCTTTGAACATAGCAATTACATAAGACTAATTTCCTTTGCTGGCTGTTTGCATTATGTTTACCCCACATCCCAAGCTGAAGTTTTTCCCTGGCTTGTGTGAGTTAAGTTGAGGCTCTTCCATGTCTTTAACTCAGCAGTCTCAGTTCTATTGCTAGTTCCCCTGTGTGCTCACGCTGAGGGAAAGGAGGAGGTAGGAAAGCGGTACTTAGAATTGCTAGTGCTACACATGCTCCACCTACTTTCAATGGAGGCCTTGTCAGGCCTGTGATGAGAGCTTAGGCAACGTGTGTACTTGAAGAGGGAGGGAAGGCAAGGGTGCAAGCTAGTGGAGGGGCAACTTTGTTTGCAAAGGTTCCTGCAAATGTAATTTGACTCCCTACTGAGAGTGGGCTGACCATTAAAACCCTGAAAGGTGAATGGCAGCTTTGTTTGAGCTTTCAGCCTCCTCAGCCTCCTTTGATTACTGAGCTTTGCTGAGCTTGGAGAGAACATAACATGTTACCAAAGAAAATAGGACTTCCTTTTGAAAATAAAATGCAGAATGATAATTTATTACTGTGAGAAATAGAATTCATAAGGACATCAGACTCTTAATCTTTCCTGCTTAGAACATTTTCTTCCTAAGATCAGTGTAGGCTGAGATCAAAGTTATCACAGAAGGTTGTTACTTAATTTGAAATTCAAGTGATTTACAGATATTTGCTCCTATTAAAGTAGGAGGTTTGGAGGAGATCTGCTTCTTTTAACTTTGTTTATGTTTTGTTTTTTTTTTTTTTTCTGAAGAAGTGATGTTTTCTAATTTTTTCTTTATGGCTTCTAGTTTTTGGTCACACTGAAGAATCCTGTAAAAACATATTATTTGTATAAATGCATTTAATATTTTTATCTAAACTATTGGTTATGTGGCTGGAGAGATGGCTCAGCAGTTCAAAACACTGGTTGTTCTTTCAGAGGACACATGTTTGATTCCCAACACCCATATGGTGTCTCACAACCATCTGTAACTCCAGTCCCAGGGGCCCCAAGACCTTCCTTTGACCTCCATGGATACCAGGCATGCATGTGATGTCCAGACATACGTGTAGTTAAAATATTCATACACATAAAACAAAGTAAATAAATCTAAAAAAAAAACCCCAAAATCTTGGTTATATCCAATTATGTATATTACAAAGTAAACATCTATTTTCAATACAATTTTCCAGACAAAGGGCACTTTTTATATTTCATCATGTTTTGGCTATTTATGACATGTTATTCTACTCCATAATAGAAACATTATTTTTATGTTTGCTTTCTTTGAGGCACAGCAAAGTTCTATCTTTTACTACAGAGCTTATATTTTTTAAAATTAATAATCTGATAATTTCTTAGCTCAGGACTAGAAAATAGAAAACAAAACCTTACCTGGTGACACTTTAATGGGATATGCAATATGAGAACTAAGGCAAGGCTAGATGGAAAGCAAACATAACAGTTAGTTATTATTTATCTGTTCACATGCTGGTATGCATGTGAATGTGTATATGTGAGTGTGTGTGTGTTAGTGTGTGTGGAATATGTGGTGCTAGAGATCAAAACTAGGGCATGCAAGCACTCTGTCATTCAGCCACTTTCCTAACTCTCTGTCAGTCAGTTTTCATGAGCAGCTGGTCTCTTGGTCAAAGTCAGCCTTAGAGGACATTAACTCTTTTGCATGTGTTTGGGTGAGATCATGCTAGTTTGTGCCTCCATTGCTTATTCCTTATGTTATGTGACTCCTATAGCTTGACAATGGATGGCAATGACTTTGACTCTCAGAATGTACAAGCAGGATGAATCTTTTTTTTTCTCTCTTCTGGTCAGAAAATAAAGCAATTAACTAGGCTCTAGTATAGGAGGTATAGTCAAATGGGTCTGGGATGGCACATAAATTGAACTAGGTAAGAGATATATTCACAATTATACTATTACTGTAGAATGCAAAGGGAAGAGGTATTCAAGCTGTGTTCTGGGAAACAGTTTTATTTTATGCATAAAGCAAGGCCCAGGGGATATTAGTCCCCAAAAAACAAATGCCTCAGTATCCAAAGATGGGGGCTTTTGTGTATTTTTTGATTCTTTGTCCTCTAGTTAAACACATTGTGATTGGTTAGTTTAGCCTAGTAGACAGTGATTGCTAAATGAAAAGGGAGGGCAAAGGCAAGGGGCCACAGGGGTGATACATGGTTAATTGAGTACGTGACAGCTTGCATGTATGCCTGTGCTGGACATTGTTCAGACCCCATGGCTGTTTCTTGTTTTTCTTTCTCTCAGCCCTCTAGGGGCCTCTTCCTCTAACACATTACAAGTTCATTATTCAGGCTTCTATAAGGATCATAAGATAGATACATTATGCTTTGGGCTTTGAAAGTTATTTAGTTTGTAAAAGTTGTCTGGACTAAAATTTTGAAGTCAACAATTGAAGTACTCATATATACCATTTTACCCTTAGAAAGCATTACTATAAATGTGCTAATCACCACATTTAAGTATTATAAAATTTTCTGTCCAGTCCTCTTATCTGAAATATAATACATATATGGTTAATCTGTGGATTATAAACAAAAAATACACATTATAATATAACTATAAAGCATAGTTAAATCTTGAAGATATGAGTAGTTTAATATTATTTTTATCAAGTGTTTATATTAGGTTGTGTAGTTCCATTTTCATGTACATAATGATGTCTATATCTTGATACAGAAAGCTTTATCATTAAAAATATTTTATTTTATGTGCATGG